ATATAGTCAAAGTATCCTAAAATATGGTTATTTTCAGAATGGGGATGAGACGTAGAGCCGAAAATTGATGTCACGCCGTCTTTAAATTCAAGATGGCGGCTTTGGTTCAGAAAATCTGTGAAATACCGTCAAATACCTATCAATGAGGGTTTTTTGGAATCGGGCTGGCTGGCATCTAGAAGAAAGAAATCGATGTCCGACGCCATCTTGAAATTCAAGATGGTGGCTACCGATTTCATAAGAAGTGTCAATAGCCTACAAATGGCATCGAATATCGATTTTCAGCATCTACGCGTCGTCCTCGTTCCGAAAATACCCAGATCTTAGGGTATTTGACACTTTTTATGGCCCGATGGCCGCCATATTGGATTCCAAAATGGCACCGGATATCGATTTTCGGCGTTCACACGTTGTCACCATTCCGAAAATACCCATATTGTAGGGTATTTGACACTTTCTGAACCCTGATGGCCGCCATATTGGATTCCAAAGTGGTATCTGATATCGATTTTTGGCATCTACGCGTTGTCTCTGTTCCGAAAATAAACATATTGTAGGGTATTTGACACTTTTTCTGAAACCCTATGGCCGCCATATCGCCGGATATCGATTTTCGGCAGCCACGCGTTGTCTCCGTTCCGAAAATACCCATATCTTAGGGTATTTGACACGTTTTATGAAACGTGATGACCATCATCTTGGATTCCAAAATGGCGTCGAATATCGATTGTCGGCATCCACGTTCCGAAAATACCCATATTGTAGGATAGTTGACACTTTCTGAATCCTGATGGCCGCCATATTGGATTTTTGGCATCTACGCGTTGTTCCCGTTCTGAAAATAACCATATCTTAGGGTATTTGACACTTAATAAAACCAATGGGCACTATCTTGAAATTCAAAATGGCGTTGGATATCGATTTTCAGCATTTACGCGGCATCCCCGTTCCGAAAATACCCTATTGTAAGGTATTTGAGACTTTCCCTGACCTCGATGGCTGCCATCTTGGACTCCAAAATGGCCTCGTTAATTTAGATTTCGTTTAATATAAAATAATATATTTTTACTACATATAATCCACAATATGTAACTATCCGGATACTAAAGGGTATCCACGATGAAATTGCCACACACAAAATTGATTCGCAAAATTCGAGTTTTCATCCGATTGCCATCAAATTTTCAGGGATTGAGAAATAACTATTAAACTTCATTTTACCATTTTACTCGTATTTTATTTACAGTCCATACGCAAATGCCCGCACCTTGGCCTTAACCCCGGCCATAAGATTCTGCACAACCTGTGAATCAACCGTTTTTTGCATGTAAACCCATACTTTCTTCAGTTCCTCGACTGTCTTCACTACCTTAGGTCGTTTAAGAAGGTGCTGCTTCATAATCGCCCAGTACTTCTCGATGGGGCGGAGCTCCGGAGTGTTGGGAGGGTTGAACATTTTCGGCACGAAATTGACCTTATTGTCCGCATACCACTTCAGCACGTCCTTGGAGTAGTGGCATGAGGCCAAATCCGGCCAAAAGATTGTTGGGACGTTGTGGGCCTTCAGGAGAGGAAGCAGCCGCTTCTGGAGGCACTCTTTTATGTACACCTGTCCGTTCATCGTGTCCTGGGTCACGAAAGGTGCACTCCGCTTCCCGCACGTGCAGATGGCTTGCCAAACCACGAATTTCTTCGCAAATTTGGACATCTTCTGAGTGCGGACATGCTCCGGAACGCTGAACTTATCCTTGGCCGTGAAAAACAGGTTGCCGGGGATCTGTTTGAAGTCGGCCTTCACATATGTTTCGTCGTCCATGATGCAGCATTCAACTTTTGTCAGCATGTTGAGGTACAACTTCCTGGCACGGGTTTTGGCGGACTTGTTCTGCTTCTCGTCGCGATTAGGGGCCTTTTGTACCTTGAACGTTCGAAGCCCAGCCTTAGTTTTGGCCTTCTGGACAAAACTTCGGCTTAGGTGCAGCTTCTTAGCCACATCCCTAACGGAGGCGTTCGGATCTCGGTTGAAGGCCCCAACTACGCGGTTGTGATTTTTGGTGTTGAACGGAATACTTTTTCCTTCACTTCTGGCCTTCCGATCGGTGGTCAACCGTTCCTCGAACCGCTTAATCACTCGCGACACCGTGGAATTCGCGATTCCCAACGTATTAGCGATGGAACGATGCGAGAGATCCTTGTTCTCGTGATGAATGCGCAAGATTTTATCACGCACGAGCTGTTCTTTCGACTCCATTTCCGTGAGTTTTGATCACAGGACTTTAAAACTTGCAGGATGTAAATAATGCACTATGAACTAAATCCACCCAAATTTTCATTAAATTCTACCCAACGGTTAAAAAGTTAGAGCAATTTCATAGTGTGGCAATTTCATCGTGGACACCCTTTATATGTATTTTGATGCCTGCGTCGTCAGGTCATGACAAGTCGAATGAGCCCAGAATCGAAGTCATAGTACCATAGAGGTAACTCTAAGACCAGAAGGTCCCGAAGAACCGTGCTCAACTTTTTGGCTCAGCTCTGGTACTCTCTTCCGTCCCAAGCTAATCTATTCACTCCTCGAAACATAGGAAAATCCACTAACCCCTCATTTTATCTGTCAAATTTTCATAGCGAATCAAAACAAACATTGTGTAGTACTAGAATTTCGACTGGAATGGGGTACGTTAATCGTTTGCTTGGGACCAATAGGCTAGTCAAGTAGTGAGCCAATTTAAAATCGATAGTTTCGTAATGATTGTTGATAGTACTGCTTCCACCTCTCAATCCAATCCAATTCGTTCGTAAGAAGGTTACCGTCCAAGTCCTTGCACATATCGGCTTGCCTTTGCGCGAGAATTTCCGTGAGTCGTTTACGCGTTATAGATTTTCCATCGCCTCGCAATCTCGGTTTTCCTGATGGCGCTTCTTCCTTCGAAAAACCGAGATTTGTCTGTTCCGCGCTTGTCTATATCGCTCCCCATTCAATCTCTTGCGGTGTTGCATCAGTTTTGCCCGCGCTGCATTCTTGTCCTCTACCAACAGTTTGCATTCGCCGTCAAACCAGTCATTTCTTCGGTCCTGGATCGCAGTACCAACAATCAATACGAAACTAACGATTTTAAATTGGCTCACCACTTTAGTAGCCTATTGGTCCCAAGCAAACGATTAACGTACCCTATTGTAGTTGAAATTCTATTACTACACTATGTTTGTTTTGATTCGCTATGAAAGTTTGACAGATAACATCAGGGGTGTGTGGATTCATGCAGAACATGCAGGGGTGAGTGAAATAGCTTGGGACTGCTTGGGACCGTTGTTCTGGTACTGAGTGAGCCAAAAATAATAATGATTTTCTTCGGGACCCAGTGGTCTTAGAGTTACCTCTATGGCAGTACCTAGTGCCACTGCAGCAGTACTACCCTCAGTTATCTTCAAGAGTAGCTGCGCCAAGCTGCTCTTCCGTGGGTAGTGCAGCTTCCAGCTGCTTCGCGTAATCCTGGGCAAATTCGGCGTCCCGTAACGCTTGGGTAGCGGCGTTCGACTTCGACGGGTGTTGCGCACCGTCTAGAGCTTTGAGCGCATGCATACTGCAACAAAGTAGTGGTCCGAATCTATGTTCGCACTGCGGTACGTGCGGACGTTGATAATCTAGATAGAGCTGGAATTAGGGCGTAACAGCTTTTGTAAACAATGACTTCTCTCGATGATTTCTAGAAAGTCAAGGCTCGCTCAGGCAAATCAACATCACCATTGGATAGGAGAAAGCTTCCCCTATCTGATGGTTATGTTGATTTGCGTGGGAGAGCGTTAAATTCCTAGAAATCATCGAGAGAAGTCATTGTTTACAAAAGCTGTTACGCCCTAATTCCAGCTCTATCTAGTAATGTCGGAGACCCGTCGATTAGAACGTGATCGATTTGGTTTTCTGTGCGTTCGTTGGTCAGGTGATCTCCAGGTGGTTTTCTGGATATCCTTGCGGGGGGAAAAGGTACTCCGGACTACCATACCACGGGAGGCTGCAATGTTCACGACATGCAGGCTGTTTGACCCGATTGCCGGTCTGTACATTGCCTCCCGTCCTACTTGAGCGTTCATGTCGCCGATGACGTCCCGTTGCGAACAGCCGTCGTACACCTGCTCCAGCTGCGCATAGAACGCGTCTTTCGTCGGGTCGCCCTTCGTGTGGACAGCGTACGTTGATGATGTTGTAGTTGAAGAAACGACCCTTCATCCTCGCGTTGATGGCTGCCAACCAATCACGCGTCGGCGCATCTTACCCAGCTCGTTGGTGGTGCCACAGCTCTGGTAGAAAGTTACCGCTCGATGCCCGCTTTTCCATACCTTTTGTCCCGTCCAGCAAAGTTCCTGCAGTGCTACGACTTCGAAGTTCGTCATAGATTAACTAATCGCAGCCCGGGAAGCCGTGCGATTTGCAGTTCCATGTTCCGAGTTTCCAATCGTAGTCCTTATTTCGTCGCGTAGGTCTGTGCCGATTGTTCCGATCCGTATTTCTTTCTTCGGTATTTGCAACTTTTTTCCAGGGCAACTTGTTGGGCCTGCCCAACCCCCTGTCTCGCCGGGGGACCATCGTGCACAGCTCTGTTTAGAGTCCCACACTGGCACTAGGACGCTGAACAGCCGCTCCTAACCGGGGGAACAGAAGCTCGGGTTTGGTGAAGCATTTCCTCTATCACCGCACTTTGGTTACCTCGCCAGTATTCGCGTCGCACCTCTTCACTTTGCTATCGCCGGACTATCAACATTACCCAGGCTACGCCACCCAGCTGTGTCCTTGTTTCAGCTAGTAGTACTTTGTTATCATATGACTCGGGGAGGCGTGAGGTAGGAACTTGTGAGGACCAGAGCTAGGTATCCCGCTCCTTCCAGGTTGTCAACTAACCATTTTGTAGCCCACACACCATACACATACCCCAAAGCTATTAATTCACGGAATCAAATTGAACTGTTAAGCATCCGTTATTTCAAATTCCACACATTTCCAGCGCCGAAGCGAGGAAGCGGCCGAACTGCTCGCCGAGAAGAACCGCCTAGCCGAAGAGGAAGCCCTGCTGCTCTCCCACAAAGCCCTGGAGGTCGAGCAGGAAATCAGCCGGATGCGGATGACGGCCCGCAAAACCGAAGAGGAAAAGGTCTACCTGGAGCGGAAAACGCAGGAAGCCGAACTGCTGACGGCCCAGATGATCGAAGAATCGCGCAAGCGGGTCATGGAAACGGAGAAGCTCAAGAACGAGCTAATCCACGCCCGGGTCGCCGAGAAGGAAGCCAAGGAAAAGCTGCTCAACTTTCTGAGCCGGACATCGACGGAGTCGATTTTTATAACGCCGTCCTCGTCGCCGGAAACGCCGGCCCTGGAGAGCAATACGTACGACCTGCTGGCGGACGGGGACATGGATCAGCTGTCGCTGGAAATCGAGAAGGAAAGGTAGGTGGCAGCGAAACACTTTCAACTTTGTTCCGGGGTTAATTCCAAGGGGAAATTCGATATTTTCCGACAGGGTGGAGTACCTGACGAAATCGAAACAGGTGCAGAACCAGCTGAAGGAGCTCCGCTCGGAGATCGAACAGCTCAAGATCGGCGAGAAGCAGTCGCCCCTCGACAAGATCAACGCCCAGCAGATACGTCTAGGTGAGAACAAGTATTCCACCCTGAAGAAGCTCAAATCGGGCTCGACGAAAGCACGAGTAGCGTTTTTTGAGGAATTGTAAGTGACTAGAGTGTACATCTACATACACACATACCTACCTACATTTTATAATACGCCTGCTTTAAAGAGTTCTTGACTTTTCTATTACTGATTGTGGAAGATGGGCTTCTGGCCGTCGTCTCTCTCGTCTCGTGCGTTGTGGCTGTAGAAACACGTTTTGTTTTGCTGCATCGAGTTTACTTTTTTCTGGATTGTTGAGTTCTTTTTTTTTTTGTATTCTGATTTCTGTATGCCTATAGAAGTGTTTGTATTGTATTGTTTATGTAGGTAGATTTCCTTTGATTGCGGTACTTGTTTTCTATGGGACATAGAAGGTATCGGAATATTTTGTATAGTGACCATCGAAACGAAACGAAAAAAAATGGTCTAGAACGAAGTGGAAGGGAGCAATCAGGGCCGTTAGACTGCGTTCCTGCCTCCAGCAGATTAAGGAATCAAAACGTAACAAATGGTGTCATTTTGAACTGTCGACTTACAAAGCGTGTAAAGTTTCATGACCGTACTATTCTCCTCGTTGCCAAAATATGTTATTCTCTTTCACGTAAATACGTTAGGTTCGTAGTGATTCAGCAACACTGTGTATACTGTTAGGTTAATGTCATCAGGCAGAAACATCTCTATGTAGTAGCCTCGATCATAAGTAGACAACTTAGAAATGTATTTTATTTATGCTATTACGTTACTTTTTTTACATTTTAGTGAACACTAGTGACAATTAGATGTATTTAATCATATTTTCGTCAGATTGCATCCTAGACTTTGTTGTTATTTAAACATCAAATTCATCATCGTAGTACTCTCACATTCATTAGACATTGGTGCGTAGCAATACCTATACAAACAGAAACAGGAAGAATTCCTTCTCTATTACCTATAATCTAGTAGCAATCCATCCATATTATTGTTAATCCGGTCTAAATACATTCAATTCAGAGAAAGATCAGAGGTAAAACCGTTGTTTTATACACCGCAACCGACAACTACATTAAGCCAACCAACGGAAAGTCATTCAATAAATAACTACTTTCTCAGTCAGTACATTTCTTAGTTTGAACATGTTGTTGATCAGTTTCACCATCCGTTTTCGTTCTATCATCATCTGTCATCATCTTATCGCGCAGTCTCACCCATTTTGGTCGAAGGTAAATGGTTCTGTTTGTATTTGTGTGCTTGCTTGTATTTGTTCGCCCTCCTCTCTGGTATCTATTGTATTGTTTTCTAACTAATTGTTTCTTTATTTTTTAGTGTTTTCCCCTCTCCTTCCATACTGCCACTGTTTTGTTTCGTGTGGTTGGGTTTTCTGTTTCTGTCACCATTTCGTTTGCTTCACGCCCTTCATTTCTAAGCAGCAGCTGCGGAACTATGTCGCTTCGACCTACTTGTGTGCAGCCAGCATTCACTGCAAATCAATCAAGCTTTAAATTTTTCCGTTTTCTTGAAATTTCCCAAACAGAGACCCGGAGGAATCGATAGCGTAGCGTTTCCCGGAATCATCACGCCCCGGAGGATGATTCCCAAGGAAGAAAACAAATCCATTCAATCTCGCATACTCTCACAATTGCCAACCTGCTGCTACCTATCTTTAGCTAGGGATGTAACAAAACAAAAAAAACTAGTTGAAAGAGATTGATCGATTCGACGACGGGTCGATCGGGAAGACAAGTGCCTGCGTATTAAGCTGTCGTTTCTTATGGAACGCGGTCAATACTGATTATACGACTACCAGCTGGTCAAGCGCCCATACTGGGTTGCCAAGGATGGCGTCAAATTTTTACTCACTAGGTATGATATAAACGGACAGTTTCGATACGCTTTTGGAATTATTTTTATTTTAGCTGTGAATAAACCACTTTTTTTAAACGTAGCCGATCGACCTTTTCTGGAAATTGATAGGAAAGAAAGTACCGTTCTAGGGCAGAGCGCACATTTTTACTTTTGATAGGGTATATTGTTTTATTGTTTTTTTACATCAACAGGCTGGATGAAGCCCCAATGATATTAACCTTATCAACTAAAGTAAAAAAAAAATACATTCAAGCATGGTCATGACATTAAAAAACATATATCTTATAGTCAGTTACTCCTGCCGGTAACTGGGTATTCGAAACGGATCATTCCAAGGCAATTTACGCAACGCAAAACGAAGAAAGCGACGTTGAACAGATTCAATTCTCTCGGCACCGTTGTTGTAGTTTGGGTTCCAAACCGCTGAACAATACTCAAGCGTCGATCGAACAAGCGAACAATAGAGAGATTTTAGACAGTAGATATCAGTGAAGTTTTTAGCTATCCTACAAATTGTTGCAGGGCAATGGTTATAACGGACCAAATTAAGTGAGAAACTATCTCCGCTGAATGACAACTACTGAATAACGTATATTTCTACTTCTCTGTGATACATAGCAAAGTGTGTGAGTGTATGGGTGTTGTGTAAACGATACATTGTAACAGTCACTCCATGTTGTAAATAGTAAATTAGTATAAATAAAATAAGAATGAGATAGATCTAATCCATACGCCAAAAACTATGCCAGTAGCAAAACGACAATGCAGTGCCAACATTTCAAAGGGGCGTAATTGTATTTGTAAACAATGGCTTTAGCCGTCGATTTCTCGCGAATAAAAGCTCACTCATGAAAAATAATGACACCAGCAGGTAGAGGAATGTTTCCTTTACCAGCTAGCATTGTTATTTTGGAGAGGTAAGATTTCATTCGCGAGAAATTTACGGGTAAAGTCATTGTTTACAAAAGCAATTACGCCCCTTTGAAATGTTGGCACTGAATGGTCGATTTACTATAAAAAATAGAATGCCTCGTGAGTAAAGCCACTCGACATTGTACAATTTCTCCCAAGGCCGAGTCCAGTGAAATCTTCGGGAAAGTTGGGAAAAGAGAGAGTGTGGCTACACCCGACTTTGAACGAAGTACCACCCTAATAAAAATAACCATAAAACAGAGCTTAACGACGTGTTCGGGGTATCATCCAAACCATTTGTGGGATAGTTTACCCATCAGGGAACTGTATCCCTATCCCGTTTATGGTATTTGTTTATTAGGGCAGCGATCGGAATAATCTCTCGCATTGCCGATCTAGTTCGAAGAAGTTCGCGGGAAAATCGAACTTCCGTTAAGTTCGGCCGAGGTCACCTTCCCTAATCTGAGGGTCACGGTTTCGCTTCACTTTCGTCCGAACCGCAGATTGCAGTGGAAGTGTTTCATTTTGTTCGCGTGATAGTTTCGTTTTGTAAAGTGAGTTAAAGGAACGTGGTTGTACTTTTATACTTAAATTCTCTTCGTTGATTGTTTAGCTATAATTATAAATCTAAACGTAGTGTGCGTCTTAGGCTAGACTACGTGTCACTTCCAACGCCATCATCTGCGTCCCCGGGGCGAATAATGCGAGCCGCATCTACATCGCTGAGCGGGGTCTTGTGGTCAACAACTGCCACTGCTGTTGAGATCACGTTCGTACACCCACGTGGAAATCGTTGGCCGTTCAACACCAACGGTCGAACACGCATCGATTGAAGTAGCATCGTCGCCGCGCCAGTAACTGCAGCGCAGCAATCAAAAGCAGGGTGCGTAGTTGAGTGTGGCGTCCGGTGAGGGCGCCACGGAGGACCCTTTTTTTGCCGACCATAAGGTCGAAGAGCATGAATTGCTAAGATTTGGATTAGTCCAATAATTGTAATGTTGGGGTGTCGGCAAGACAAACGCGCGTACGTATCATCGTATATGGATACCCACCCAACCTATCAATGTTAGACACCCGGGTGCCAAGCTTTGCCGTTTCCCGCTTGCTGTATCGTCGTGGGATTCGTCGGGAAGAAACACAAGAGTACAGCACAGATAGAAGGTAGTTATGCACACAAGAATAGGACTAGGTGGAGAAAGAGAATAAAGAGGAGTAGAAAAATATTAGCAATGGAAATTTCGTGAAAGCACGCTCTAGTTATAATAAAATCTCAGCTTACCGTTTTCCGTTGTGAAATAAATGTTTGATTTGATTTCGATGTAATGTTGTCCTATTAAAAATTAGAATGAGAGGAAGAAAGTGTTTTCACGTTGTTTCGGGTCCGTGTAATTCTGTTGTTGTCTTCCGCGTGGTCGGAGTTTGACTTAATGTTGCGTACCTCTTTTGCTGCAACTGCGCCTCTGGCGGAAATAAGTGGAACTACCGATGAGGAAAACTTGACGTGTAACGTCGTTTTAGGTTTGTGTGCTCTCTTACCGTGAGCTTTGGGAAAATATTTAGAGGTGTGAGAAATTATGCTGTTTTTGCAATAAGGGTTTCTACCCGGTCAATTTCGGTGGTAGTGAAGCTGGCTCGATCTCTTCTTTTTAGGAAGATTACTCTTGGACTCGCCCTGAGGCAGTCTCATCCGGGCAAAACTGAACATGGCATGCGGTCTCCTTTATCGGAGTGGCGCTTAAGCCGCATACTTAACCGAGATCGACCAGTGACGGCTACAACATGAATGTTTGGGGATTATGCACTGGGTGAAAACATACTTTTCGAATTGACATCGGTTTTACACGGTTGTGTAAACCGACACTCCTCAACGATGCTAGTTCGACGTTTCGGTTGGATCCTTAACGCCGATGGCAGTTCTGTGCCTCTCTAGTTTAATTCGCTCTAGGTGCTTTGTCATTAAGTCCGCCTCCATGCGCTCGGTTGGCTTGTAGCGGAGTTCGATGATACCTTGCTGGTGCAGGTCCTTGGTGTAGGCGTACTTCGTGTCAATGTGCTTGGAACGCTCGGATTCTACGATCTTCATACAGGATTGGTTGTCTTCCCAGCCGACTATGGGATTTGTTTAAGACTGCTTCAAGTCCTTGAGAAGTTTCCGGAACCAAATGAGCTGCTGACATTCGTCCGCCAGTGCGACGAATTCGGCCTCCGTTGAGGACAAGGCGACACACGATTGCTTTCGTGTTCCCCAATCGACAAGACCGCCACCGAACTTCAGCAGGAAACCGGAATGAGACTTCTTGTCGCCTTCGTCGCCGGCCCAGTTGGCATTCACAAAGCATTCCACTTCGTCGGATCTGGGACCCAGGTACAAACGGTGGTCGTGCGTAGCCCTCAGGTACCGGAGGACTCTCTTGGCTTCGGTCCAATCGCGGTTGGTAGGATTGGTTACCTTCCTTCCCAGCAGTGAAACGGCCACGCATATGTCTGGCCGAGTGTTGACCGCGACGTAGAGCAAACTGCTCACCAAACTGCGGTATGACGTGTTTGTAGGCAATTCATGCTCCTGCTTTTGCGCCATTCATCTTCACGTGAATTTCCAGGAAGTGCTTGAGTTCGCCTAGGCAGGAAAGCTTGAAGTGTTTCTGCAGCTGTCGGCGAATCTGCGCGAATTCTTCCTCGGAGTTGCAGACGACGACCATATCGTCGACGTATATCAGGATGTACGTCTGTTTCCCGTTGCAGTTCTGGATGCATCGGCGTCCGCCTGGTGGAAAATCATTAACTTGAACATTGCGTCGATTTTCTTTTTCCATGCTCGAGCGGACTGCTTGAGCCCGTAAATGCTGCGCTTGAGATGACATACCGTTGTGTTGAAGGCGGTTGCTTCATTCAGGCCCGCGCACAGATAGGCGCTCTTTAGGTCGAGGTGCTCTGCTCTGCTTGCTGGCCAGTACGAGGACAGTTCGAAGGGTAGTCTGACGAACGACGGAGGCGAAAACCTCGTCATAGTCCTGGCCGAATTTCTGTGCGAATCCTTGAGCGACTAATCTCGCTTTGTGTCGCACCACTCGTCCGTGTTCATCCTCCTTCTTTTTGAACGCCTTGCGACCCGGGAGTAGTGGAGCGAGCTCCCAAGTGTCATTGTCTTGAAGTGATTCAATCTCCTCCTGCATCGTGGTTTGCCACGCGACCGCTTCGGCGCTTTCGATCGCTTCGGAGTAGCTTTGGGGTTCTTCGCTTGCATGCTGCGTTACGCTGGTAACATTATCGAAACGCTGAGGCGGAATGCCTTTCGTCGCACGTGTCGATCGCCTTGGTGCGTTTGCTTCCGTGTTGAATTCTTCTCCGAGTAGAGGATCTTCATCGCTGAAACCGAGAAAGTCATTCTCCGATTGAATCTCCTCTTCGACCGCCGAATCGTAATCTTCATCCGCTTCTGGTTGGTCTTCGGGTACATCCGGGTTTCGTTGTGGAAAGAGATCGAATTCCACGTCTTCACCGTTACCTGCGTCCAACTCATCCGTTGAATTGGTGTCCGCACCGTTCTCGATGAACTTGACGCAGTCGTGAATCGTCAGACCGTCCACCAGGTCAGCCTGCAGTAAACGGTCGATCGCTTTCGGGTCACGGTGACCGAACCTCCGATGCCAAACGTGCTCAAAATCCTTGTTGTGGTGACCGCCTGCCACCATCACAGTGTCCGCCGGTTGCTTGATTTGGTACATACCTTCCTTCCTTCGGCGTTCCCTTGAAGAATGCGACAACCAGTCGCACCGAAAATCACCGTTCCTTGCTTCTGGATCAGTGCCGGCACGGACAGCAGGTTCATCGATAGACTCACTTCACGACGAAAACTACGTTCGTCAACGCATTCGACGACGGAGAAATCTTCACAC